ATTCTTTATAGAGAAATAAAGATGGGTTGGGTATCTAGAAGGCGTCAATTAGAAAGTCTATATCACTTTGGAGAGTGACTCCAGGAAGATCATCGGGAAAGATTCCATGGAACTCTCCTACAAGACCAAAATACCCTTCTAAAATCCAGTTTTGACTTTCCTTATCCAGACAGCCCGACTTGAGATGGGCATAACTCCCTCATATGAACTCGAAATTGAGCAAACTCGGTGGCGTTGGAAAGATAATTCAAAAATCTTTCCTACGGTATCTTGTAGCGCACCTAACTCATGCTGTGCTAGGAGTTATGGTCGTTTGAAGTTGACTACAAACTCATACTTAACATAACTTGCCAAATTTCAGATTTTTCATTCTTTCCAAAAATGGTTCTTTCTAATTTAGCTCTTTCAAATAGCGGGGTGTTACAATTACATTCGAGAGTAGCTCGCCTAAATTCCAGACACTTAGTCTTGATGGCAAGTTTCTTCATACTGAAATTACTTGTACATGCCTTAACATTTTTCTTGCTACAATCAAGTTTGTATTTTGCCTTCACAAATGACACTTTAAGGATTCCAAGAATTGTAGTTTTGTTTAATCTGACCTATAATGTGTTTTTGCATATCCTTCCTTCAGCTCCCTGTTGAAACTCCGTTTCCATCTATGCTATCAAGATTGAAACTCTTTCTATCGATTACTGAGCACAAAGGTGTGAATTTTATAAACTTGACCGTTAAAGTCAGGTTTCAAACAATTCTGTCAAAACTAACCACATATCAAGGCATGTAGACAATATTTATTTGGGACAAGATTATATCAGGCCAAGAAAAAACATATATATTTGACAGATCCCAAGTAGTTTGAGATCGATAATATGAGAGGGTATTTATCACTTCTTATTTTATGATAGTATGAATCCATGGATCATTCCGAAAAGATAATTGTATAAACAATAAAGGGGTTGGAGAATGGTTCTGGCCATTGGTCAAATTCAAAGGTACAAGAAGTTGATTATCAATATTGTTTGACAAATAATACATCTGTATTTTGAGGTAAAGAGAAAACTAAGAGCAGCAATATGACCATAAAAATAAAAATTGGATTGTGCTTTGCTGCTCGATGAAAACAGAAGTTTGCTGATCAAGAGTGCCAAAGGATTTTATACGAAAGATATCAAGTTATTGTCACAATTTAACTTGTACACAGATTTGAGTCTGTTGATTCCAAGACTTTACATTCTAGCCAATAGATGTTAACATTGCATTATTATTTCAAGCTCTGTAGACCAAATGTATATACACATAATTACATTTTCCCGTGAAGCTGGTCTTCGATCCACCCTAGCTAGAATCCCCACACATGTTTCATCTGTTCTCTTGGTCTATTTTTCGAGAACTATTTTCTATTTGAGATCATTAATATTGCTCTAAAGATGAAAGAATCCATTAAAGCAGACTGAGATAGCTAGTTAAATCTCCATGGTTCTATACCTTACAGACCGAGGAATCATGAGAAAAGGCTTCAAGCTTGCTGTAGTACTTGACCAAGTACAGAAATAAACACACAACCATAACTTTGAAATAAACTCAGCCACATAGCAGCATTAAACATAATAACACTTCATTGGGATAAAAACAACTAAAAAAGACATACTTTCATGGATCCCAATCAACATTATGAACAACTTTCACTTTAGGTGATGCAAGCTGAAATGTGTGTAGCACATCACCAAATTCAAATGCTTCGAGAACAGGATCATATTAGTGAAGACTTTGCACAATGTGCTCAATTAGCATTGTCACCAGTACGCGAGACTTGGCTAACAGAAGCTTCACGAGTTGTCTTGCAGGCTTTGTGCCTAGACTGCCTTGTAGCTTAACTTCACTGAATGCCTAAATGTCATATTAGAGAAACCTTCCACTTCAAGACATTCAAGAGTAGGAATTTCAGCTCGAGTATAGTCATCAGCCACCTATGAAAGATTACCAAATTAAATACATATTACTAAATTTTATGGAAGATAAACAGTAAGAAAATAAGTAAGAGAAACCAAATAGTCAAATGACGAATAACCTCAATTTCCAAATACTGTAAATAAGGGAAGCTTCTTATCAAGCAAAGAGCACATAAGACCACAGCCAAATCACCCAGAAAAAAATCAGATAGGTAAAGACACTTCACAATTTAAGATCAGCCGGAAGCTTTTTTGGTACTTCATCACCGGTGTTTGCAGCTAAGAACTAGTAAAAGATGCAATAAATCAGAGCGGATAATATAAATATTTCAGAATGCACTACAATGAAGGATAAATTTACCTTGAGAATACTGCTATTCAACTGGACATGCTCGAGAAAAGGTAAAGAAGCAAAAAAATTGATAATGTCATATTTTGCGATCCCCGCATAGTACTCCATGCCTACAAGAGATAGTTTTTCCAGAAGAGGGATAAATTGCCTCTAAAATCAAAGGATCTCAACAGGGGAGCACTAATTTCAATGACACATTTGTCCCTAAAAAAATGATGCACTAACAACATTAAGTAGTTCAGCTGACAAGAGTCAAATAAAAGGGTTCAGAATATAAATTCGTATAAGTATAAGAGTCCATCAGACTATTTCTATTTATGTTTATAATTTGAGGCATGATATTAAACCTTTTAGAATCATATATATTCTTATATAAACCTCCATTTTTTCAATTCTTAATGTAATAAACTTAATAGTTTATATAACAAACTTACAAGGACAAGTTTGTCCCTTACATTATTATTTTGGGATAATTTTAGAGACCCCCCTTATATTTAATTTCATAATACATATCTCTCTTATGGTTTACAATGAATAATGCTAAATGACCAGAAAAATTTGGCTAGAATTTGCCAAAAATGTAAAAAGCCTATAATATTCTTATTTCAATTTTTACATTTATTCCTTCAATACTTTTTCCTCCAAAATAAAATTAATTTCTTTTCTATTTCTCAAACTTCTTGAGCTGCTAAAATACAAACTCTTTAACTGCATAGGGAAATGAAAAGAGTTTTGTGTATATTTTCTTGTGTATGTATAGTTCATTCGATTTATTTTTGAAAATAAATATTGTTCAGTTAACTAAAAAAATTAAACACTTTAGTTAAAAAATACTTTTGTATTTTCGTTTTTATACATTAATATTTTTTTCATTACTATACCATACAAATTATGTTCTACATATACAGAACCTACACTCCCTCCTCTACCCCTCCCCCGAACTCAATTATGTTCATACATGGGTCTTTCCCATCTAATAGCTAAAAAGAGATAACTAGTCACTCTTTTTAGTTATTTTCCAAATAATAGTCGTCAAGATGCAATTATGGATGATGAACCAAAAAAAAAAAAGTCAAATAAAGTACACTCGAAGACTACTAATATAATTTTTCTCCTAACATTATGCTGGGTGTTCACATATGGTTTGGTGAAAATTCAATCTAAAAACTAAATTGATAATAACTACATCGATAAATGTATATTTAGGTTGATTTGGTTTTAATAATTGAAAAATTAATTTAATTTGGTTTTAATCCAAATAGACTCATGAACATCCCTAGGCCTGTAGGTATCAATTTAGCTTATTACCAACAAAAGATATATAATGTGTTTCTTGCTAATATTGTTGTTTTGGTATTTCCTGCTATTATTCAAGTAATCATGGAGTGCATTATTGTGTGTTGCCTTTATATTGCAGTGTTATCTTTGTTAAACTATAATCACTAAAATTATTTTATTATATGATAAAATGGGACCTACAGTAGTACTCCTTCTGTCCACTTTTAATTGTCATATTGCGCTTTTCGAAAATCAACTTAACTAATTTTCAAAGTTAAATTATAGTATTACATTAATCCGATATTTTAAACAAAAAATTTAGAGATTCAAAAAGTTATACGAAAAGTACTATAAACTCCAATTTTTTTGAATTTGTATATCAATATGATGAAAAAATACATCGTAAAATGTTAGTCAAAATTATTATCATTTGACTCTAAAAAAAGGAAACCATGATAATTAAAAGTGAACGGATAGAGTAGTTTTTATACTATCGACGTAATTTAACTCTATAGCATGTTACTCTCTCTATTCCATATTAAATGAATCATATTAAGTGCATTCTTGGAATATGCCACATCTCTTAATTAAAAGAATTTAAGAACATAAATTAAAAGGGTATTTTCCATTATTATCCATTTGATTATTCTCAAATTATTCACCTTGAAAATGAAAAATAATTAAAAATCTTATTAAAAGAAAAGGTAAATATGAAAAAAAAAAAGTTCCAACAATTTTCTTGAACTTTGAATAATTCACTTATTTTAAACTATGAAAAAAATCCCAACAGTGCATATGTAGAGAATTCAAACTTGTTTTTAGTTCCACAAATATTAAGGTTTTTTGTTTCTGAGTACTCTCTCCGTCTCATATTAGTTGATCACTTTCCTTTTTATATGCTTATTAAGAACTCATAAATAAATGGTAGTTTTACTAATTCACATCTTACGAACTTGTTTTGAACTTTATAAACTAGTGTGGCTGTGTGGACACTTTCAAAAAGAATTAATTGTAAGAGTAATATGGGAAAATATCAATTGATGCTTTCATGATTAGTAAGGTGATCAACTAATATATGACAACTAATTTTAGTATAATGATCAACTAATATTGGTAGAGAGAATAGTAAAGAAGACTCGTTTATTGATTGAATTTTGAAAATCTGAATGGTCATTCTCTTTTTTAGTGAAGTAGAAATATCATTTTCAAGATGAATTAAAGAATGGTGAACCCAAAGAGTCAAAAGGCCAAAGTAATCTCTCAACATTTGAAACTACAAATAGTTGAGGACTGAAGATATTAGGCATGCATTTGGGTCAAAAGAAATGTCCTCTTCTTTCATTTGTATTATGTTTATATATACCTAATATATCTTGGTATAAGTTGATTTTTTTTGTGGTGGTGATTTCTGTGTAACGATGCCTCCGAAGCACAAAAAGCGTGGTCGTGAAAGTGTTTGTGGATATATTCAGCAACCTTCCAAGTGATGTAACTGATGCTATTCTAATGGGTTTACTTTTACGAGACACTGTGAGGACAAACATCTTATCAAAACGATGGAGATATAAGTGGTGCAAACTTCCTGAGTTGACACTTAATTTAAATCATTTGAGAACGAATGACTTGATACCTCCTACTTTGCAGTTTACCAACATTATGTATCACCTTTTGACCCTTCATGTTGGACCAATTATTAAGTTTACCCTTTCTATTAATTGTTTCCTGGAAACATGCCCAGTGATTGACAACTTGATATTTTTCCTCTCAAGAAATAGCATTCAACACCTTGTCCTTGAATTACCGAGTGATGGCAAGTTGCCTTCATTGGTATTCAAATGTTCGCAGTTGAGGCATCTAATTATCAAATATTGTTTGATTGTTTCCCCACCAACCTCAAAAGAATTTGGTAGGTCAATAAGCCTTAGAACTAAGTGACGTCACAATTTCTTCCAAATTGGTTGAAAGATTAATCTCTAATTGCTCAATTCTCCAGAAATTAGTGTTGAAACTCTGGACATTGAAAAACGTTGTTGAAATTAAAGCTCCAATGCTGAGATCTTTTGATTTTATTGGAAGTATACAATATATCTGCTTCAAGAATATCCCTCTTCTGGCAAAAGTTTCTCTTATAGACAATGAATCTTCTGAAAAGTCAAGAAAATGTGAAATTACCAATTTTTTCAAGTCTTTTGTTGTTCTCGAGAATCTAAAGTTGAATGAAGCTAGTCGCAAGGTAAATTTGTTTCATTCCTTATTGCAATGCATTTTCTTATCCTTAGCATCTTTCGGGCTTTGACTCATCTTGAATTTTTGCATTTTCTTCTTAGTTATTTGCAGCAGCGGCAGGTGGAGTACCAACAAGGCTTCCCTTTGATCTTAAATTTTTCAAATATCTTCGTATATCTTCTGTCGCTCTAGATCAACAGGGTGAGATATTGTGTGCTCTTTTCCTGATCAGAAGTTGTCCTTATTTAGAGTATATGAAAATTTATAAGGTTCTTAACCGTCTTTTTTCTTGTCTTTCTTATTTTATTTAGCGGCTTTATTGTTTTAAACTCTTTCTTTTTTCTACAAGTTCACCAGATGGATTCTATTTTTCATAAAAAAATTTAGGTGTGTTTTTTTGACGAGGATAGTCCTGCTCTGCCATGTCTTGAACTTGAAGGTTTCTCAGATGTGATGTTTAGTCACCTCAAGGAAGTTAATCTTCAAGGTTTTCTAGCCACAAAGGCCGGAATGCAGTTTATTAAGCTTTTGTTAGACAAGTCACATGTGTTGGTACGAATGCTAATTAAGTTCTATATAGATGATTATGATCATTGTCAACTATATGAGTATCTTACCAAAACATACAGTTTGATTGTTGTTGTAAATGCATTTCGATGTGCATCACCTAATGCAGAAGTAGCATTTCACATTGAGTATGATTCAGATTATGACGATCTCTAAATCCTCAATTCCCCTTTCAAGGCACAAAACCCACCTTCTTCTCCTTCTCCTTCTCCGTCTTCGTCTCTATCTCCGTTTCCGTCCTCTTCCTCTGCCTCTTCTTCTTCCTCTTCTTCTTCCTCATCCTCTCATGGACGTCCGTTAAGACCTTAGCAATGAAGCGAGTTCATCCCGAGTGGCAAACAGACGCATTTTCAAGTTCAAACAAGCCCCAAAGCAGATAAACACTGATTTTGCCAATTTTCGTGTGCTATATAGTCCATGGATATTTTGAGATCCGAATTTCCCAAAAATATGGCCGAAAATTTTCATGTACATCCGTTAAGACCATTGCTCGAGTTAGTCCCGAAAGGCAAACGAGTGCATTTTCAAGTTCAAACGAGTAAACCCAAATTTTGCTGTTTTTCGTGTGCTATAGTCCATGAATTTTTTGTGTTCCAAAATTCTCGAAAAAAATAACAGAAATTTTTCATGAACGTCCGTTTAGACTTTAGCAATGTAGCGAGTTCATCCCGAAAGAAAAACGAGCGCATTTTCAAGTTCAAACGAACCCCAAAGAAGGTAAACCCAAATTTTGCCAATTTTCGTATGCTATAGTCCATGGATTTTTGGTGATCCGAATTCCTGAAAATAAATGGCCGAAATTTTTCATGGACTTCCGCTAAAACCTTAGCAATGGAGTGAGTACAACCCGAGGGGCAAATATGCACATTTTCAAGTTCAAACGAGCCTCAAAGCAGGTAAACCCAAATTTTACCAATTTTCATTTTCTATAGTCCATGGATTTTTTGTGATCCGGAATTCCTGAAAAAAATGGCCGAAATTTTTCATGGACGTCCGTTAAGATCTTAGAAATGTAGCGTGTTTGCATTGAGGGGCAAACGGGCGCATTTTCAAGTTTAAACGAGCCCCATAGCAGGTAAACCTAGATTTTGCCGATTTTTGTGTGCTATAGTCCATGGATTTTTTGTAATCTAGAATTATCGAAAAAATGGCCAATTTTTTTTATGGATGTTCGTTAAAACCTTAGAAATGGAGAAAGTTCGTTCCAAGGGGCAAACTGACACATTTTCAAGTTCAAACGAGCCCCAAAGCAGGTAAACCCAGATTTTGCCAATTTCGTGTGCTATAGTCAATGGATTTTTTGTGATCCAGAATTACCGAAAAAAATGCCCGAAATTTTACATGGATGTCCGTTAAGACTGTAGAAATGGAGTGAGTTCGTCTCGAGGGGTAAACAGGCGCATTTTCAAGTTAAAACGAGCCCCAAAGTAGTTAAACCTAAATTTTGCCGACTTCATGTGCTAAAATCCATGAATTTTTTGTAATCCAGAATTATCGAAAAAAATGGCCAATTTTTTTATGGATTTCCGTTAAGACCTTAGAAATGGAGCGAGTTCATTCCAAGGGGCAAACGAACGCATTTTCAAGTTCAAACGAGCCCCAAAGAAGGTAAACCCAAATTTTGCCAATTTTCGTGTGCTATAGTCAATGGATTTTTTGTGATCCGAATTCCTGAAAAAAATGGCCGAAATTTTTCATGGACGTCCGTTAAGACCTTAGCAATGGAGTGAGTTCATCCTGTGGGGAAAACAGACGCATTTTAAAGTTCAAATGAGCCCCAAAGCAGGTAAACCCATATTTTTCCGATTTTCGTGTACTATAGTCCAAGGATTTTTTGTGATCTAGAATTCCCAAAAAAAATTGGCGAAAATTTTCATGGACGTCACCTTAGCAATGGAGCGAGTTCATCTCGAGGGGCAATCATGCGCATTTTCAAGTTTAAACGATCCCAAAAGAAGGTAAACTCAGATTTTCCCGAGTTTCGTGTGTTATAATCCATGGATTTTTTGTGATCTAGAACTCTCAAAAAAAATGGACGAAATTTATCATGGACGTCCGTTAAGTGCTTATCAATGCAGCAAGTTCGTTCCGAGGGGCAAACGGGCACATTTTCAAATTCAAACGAGCCCCAAAGTAAGTAAAACCAAATTTTGCCTATTTTCTTGTGCTATAGGTCATGGATTTTTGTGGTCTGGAATTCCCAAAAAAAATGTCCAAAATTTTTCAGGGACGTCTGTTAAGACCTTAGAAATGGAGCGAGTTTGTCCCGAGGGGCAAATGTGCGCCTTTTCAAGTTCAAACGACCCCCAAAGCAGGTAAACCCTGATTTTGCCAATTTTCGTGTGCTATAGTCCATGTATTTTTAGTGATCCGGAATTTCCAAAAAAAATGGGCGACATTTTTCATGGACCTCCGTTAAGACATTCACAATGAAGAAAGTTCTTCCCGAAGGGGAAATGAGCGCATTTTAAAGTTCAAACGATCCCCAAAGCAGGTAAACCCAAATTTTGTCGATTTTCATGTGCTATTATCCATGGATTTTTATTATCCGAATTCCCAAAATAAATGGCTGAAATTATTCATGGACATCCGTTAAGACTTTAACAATGGAGGGAGTTCATCCTCAGGGGTAAACGGGTGCATTTTCAAGTTCAGACAAGCCTCAAAGCAGGCAAACCCAAATTTTGCCGATTTTCAGGTGCTATAGTCCATGGATTTTTCGTGATCCGGAATTTCCAAAAAAAATGGCAGAAATTTTTCATGAACATCCGTTAAGACCTTAGCAATGGAGCGAGTTCGTCCCGAGGGGCAATTAGGCGGATTTTCAAGTTCAAACGAGTCCCAAAGTAGGTAAACCCTGATTTTACCAATTTTCGTGTGCTGTTGTCCATAGATTTTTTGTGATCCGGAATTCTCGAATAAATATGGCCAAAAATTTCATGGACGTCCAGGAAGACCTTAACAATGGAGCTAGTTCATCTCGAAGGCCAAACAGGAGCATTTACAAGTTCAAACGAGCCCCAAAGCCGGTAAACCTAGATTTTGCCTATTTTTGTGTGCTATATAGTCCATGGATTTTTTGTGATCCAAATTCCCAAAAAAAATGGCCAAAATTTTTCATAGACGTCCGTAAGACCTTTGCAATGGAGCGAGTTCATCCCGAGGGGAAAAAAGGCGTATTTTCAAGTTCAAATGAGCCCCAAACTAGGTAAACTCAGATTTTGCTGATTTTCATGTGCTATAGTCCATGGATATTTTGCGATCCGGAATTCCAAAAAAAAATAGCCAAATTTTTTAATGGACGTCCGATAAGACCTTAACAATGGAGCGAGTTCATCCCGAGGGGCTAACGGGCACATTTTCAAGTTTAAACGAGCTCCAAAATAGGTAAACCTAGATTTTGCCGATTTTTATGTGCATAGTCAATGGATTTTTTGTGATCCAAAATTACCAAAAAAATGGGCAAATTTTTCATGGATCTTTGATAAGACCTTAGAAAAGAAGCGAGTTCGTCCCGAGGGGCAAATAGGAGCATTTTAGAGTTCAAACGATCCCCAAAGCAGGTAAACTCAGATTTTGCCGACTTTCGTGTGCTAAAATACATGAATTTTTCGTGATCCGGAATTCATGAAAAAAATGGCCGAAATTTCTCATGGACGCCCGCTAAGACTTTATCAATGGAGCGAGTTCGTTCCGAGAGGCAAACCGAAACATTTTAGAGTTCAATCAAGCCCTAATGCAGGAAAACCCAAATTTTACCGATTTTCGTGTGCTATAGTCCATGGATTTTTGTGGTTCGGAATTCCCAAAAAAATGTCTGAATTTTTTCATATACGTCCGTTAAGAACTTTAAAATGGAGCAAGTTGGTCCCGAGAGGCAAACGTGTGCCTTTTTAAGTTCAAACGAGCCCCAAAGTAGGTAAACCCAGATTTTGTTGATTTTCATGTGCTATAGTTCATGTATTTTTTGTGATCGAGAATTCCAAAAAAACAATGGCCGAATTGTTTTTCATGGATGTCCGTTAAGACCTTAACAATGGAAAGAGTTCTTCCCGAGGGCAAACAGGCGCATTTTCAAATTCAAACGAGCTCCAAAGTAGGTAAACCCAGATTTTGTCAATTTTTGTGTGCTAGTCCATGGATTTTTGTGATTCGAATTACCAAAAAAAATTGCCAAATTTTTTAATAGATGTCCGTTAAGATCTTAGCAATGGAGGTAGTTCGTCTCGAAGGGTAAACAAACGCATTTTCAAGTTCAAACGAGCCCCAAAGCAGATAAACCCAGATGTTGCTGATTTTCGTGTGCTATAGTCCATGCATTTTTCGTGATCCGTAATTCTCGAAAAAGAATGGCAGATATTTTTTATGAACGTCTGTCAAGACCTTAGAAATGGAGTGAGTTCGACCCGTGAGGCAAACAGGTGGATTTTCAAGTTCAAACGAGTCCCAATGTTGGCAAACCCTGATTTTGCCGATTTTCGTATGCTTTCCATGGATTTTTTGTTGATCAAGATTTCCCAAAAAAAAGGTCGACATTTTCCATGGACATCCGTTAAGAATTTAACAATGGAGCGAGTTCGTCCCAAAGGGCAAACAGGCGTATTTTAAAGTTCAAATGAGCCCCAAAGCCGGTTAACCTAGATTTTGCCTATTTTTGTGTGCTATAGTCCATGGATTTTTTGTGATCAGAATTCCAGAAAAAAGCTGGCCGAAATTTTTCATGGATGTCCTTTAAGGCCTTAACCCGAAGGGCAAACATGCACATTTTCAAGTTCAAACGAGCCCTAAAGTAGGTAAACCCAGATTTTGCCAATTTTTGTGTGCTATAGTCCATGGATTTTTTGTGATCCAGAATTCCCAAAAAAAAATGGTCGAAATTTTTTATGGATGTCCTTTAAGACCTTAGCAAAAGAGCGAGTTCGTCCGGAGGGGCAAACAGGTGCATTTTCAAGCTCAAACGAGCCACAAAGCAGGTAAACCCAGATTTTGCTGATTTTCGTGTTATATAATCCATGGATTTTTTTGATCCAGAATTACCCAAAAAAATGGCCAATATTTTTCATGGATATTCATTAAGACCTTAGAAATGGAGGAAGTTCGTCCCGAAGGGTAAACAGGCACATTTTCAAGTTCAAACGAGCGTCATAGCAGTTAAACCTAGATTTTTCTAATTTTCGTGTGCTATAGTCTATGGATTTTTTGTGATGTGGAATTCTCTGAATAAATGGCCGAAATTTTTCATGGACGTCCGTTAAGACCTTAGAAATGGAGATAGTTCTTCCCGAGGGGTAAACATGCGCATTTTCAATTTCAAACGATCCCCAAAGCAGATAAACCCAGATTTTTCCGATTTTCATGTGCTATACTCCATGTATTTTTTTTAATCCAAAATTCCTGAAAAAAGAATGGCTGAAATTTTTCATAGACGTCCGTTAAAGACTTAGTAGTGGAGCAAGTTCATCACAAGGGGAAAACGGGTGCATTTTCAAGTTCAAATGAGCCCTGAAGCAAGTAAACTCAGATTTTACCAATTTTCGTGTTTTATAGTCCATGGATTTTTTTGTAATCCAGAATTCTTGAAAAAAATGGCCAAAAGATTTGTCGTGGACGTACTTTATGACCTTAGCAATGGAGCGATTTCGTCCCGAGGGGCAAACATGCGCATTTTAAAGTCCAAACGATCCCAAAGTAGGTAAACCCAGATTTTGCCAATTTTCGTGTGCTATATATAGTCCATGGATTTTTTTTGATCCAGAATTCCCCAAAAGAAATGGCCAAATTTTTTCATGGACGTTCGTTAAGACCTTTGTAATTGAGGGAGTTTGTCCCGAGGGTCTAAAGGGCGCATTTTCAAGTTCAAACGAGACCCAAAGCAGGTAAACCCAATTTTTACCAATTTTTGTGTGATATAGTCCATGGATTTTTTTTGAGCCTGAATTACCGAAAAAATGGCCAAAATATTTCATGGATGTCTGTTAAGACCTTAGAAATGAAGCGAGTTCGTCTCGAGGAGAAAACGGGTGCATTTACAAGTTCAAATGCGCCCCTAAGTAGGTAAACTTATATTTTGCCGACTTTCGTGTGCTAAAATCCATGAATTTTTCGTGATCCTAAATTCTTGGAAAAAAAGGTCAAAATTTCTCATGGAAGTCCGTTAAGACTTTAGCAATGGAGCGAGCTCGTTCTAAAGGGTAAACATGCACATTTTAGAGTTCAAACAATCCCTAAAGCAGGTAAACCCATATTTTGCCAATTTTTGTATGCTATAGTCCATGGATTTTTGTGGTCTGGAAATCCCCAAAAAATTATCCAAAATTTTTCATGGACGTCCGTTAGGAACTTAGAAATGGAGCGAGTTGGTCCCGAGGGGAAACCGTGCACCTTTTCAAGCTCAAACGATCCCCAAAGCAGGTAAACCCATATTTTGCCAATTTTCGTGATCTATGAATTTTTTGTGATCCGAAATTCCCAAAAAAATGGCCGAAATTTTTCATTGACGTCTGTTAAGATCTTAACAATGGAAAGAGTTCTTATTGAATGGCAAATGGGCGCATTTTTAAGTTCAAACGAGTCCCAAAGTAGGTAAACCTAGATTTTGCCAATTTTCGTATGCTATAGTCCATGGATTTTTGTGAGCCGAATTACCAAAAAAAAGTGCCAAATTTTTTAATGGACGTCTGAAAAGACCTTAGCAATGGAGGTAGTTCATCCTGATGGGCAAAAAGGCGCATTTTCATGTTCAAACGACCCCCAAAGCAAGTAAACCCGGATTTTGCCAATTTTCGTGTGCTATAGTTCAAGGATTTTTCGTGATCCGTAATTTCTAAAAAAGAATGGCAAATTTTTTTCATGAACAACTGTTAAGACATTAGCAATGGAGCGAGTTCGTCCCTATGGGCAAACGAGTGCATTTTCAAGTTCAAACGAGCCCCAAAGCAGGTAAATCCAGATTTTGCTAATTTTTGTGTGCAATAATCCATGTATTTATTGTGATCTTGAATTACCGAAGAAAATTATGCCGAAATGTTTCAATTGGCGGTAGTCTATACACATCCTAAGCGATCCATCTTTCTTCTTCACAAACAATCTCGGGGCACCCCATGGAGATAAGCTTGGTTGAATAAAACCCTTATCTAGAAAATCCTTGAGTTGTTCCTTCAATTCGGCCAGAGCCATCCGGTAAGAGGGAATTGATATGGGTTGTGTAGCCGGCAAAATATCAATGCCGAAGTCTATTTCCAGCTCGGGAGGGATTCCGGGAAAGTCATGGGGAAAGACTTCTGGAAATTTCCTAACTATGGGGACCGACTCTAAAGGAGGAGTCTCGGACTCAAGGTCCTTAACTCTCACAATATGATAGATACATCTTTTTTTTTAATTTTTTTTTAATGACCCTTGGGTGGGTCAGGGGCTTAGCAACACCCCCAGGCCTTACCATAAATAAAATAATAATAAGTACAAGGAGGGGGACATAAAACCTTACCTCCGGTCTTATGTTGGTTCAAGGGTCGAACTTCCTACTAAGGAGATTCAACTCATCCCCATACTATAAAAAGGAACCTAGTTCTAAGCACCTAAGGAGAGGACTCCTCTCAATACAAGGATACTAGGAAAATATAAATAAGGGAGACTCTCCCCTTACAAAGGAAAGATAAAAAGCCTATTCAAAAAAACTATACCTACTCTAGACATAGTCAAGTTGAAAGGGAGGGAAACACCTTAATCAAGGTGGTTTTTTTAATTCTTTTCAGCTTTTTCCTCCTGAAGTTGGTCATTCCCATCTTTTCCAGAAGGAAACTTCCTTTAGCTGCTGCAGGTAGCTGGTTTTGAGTGTAGAAGTGCTGAGTGATGTCTGATCTGTGACTCTCCTTGGACAGAAAATCTGTTGTTGTATTGGCTTCTCTGTAGGTATGCTGGCATTTGAAGAAATCCAACTGAGTAATAATCTGGTGAAGTTGAGTGATGTACTGCTGCAATTTCCACGGTGGCTTGCTTTTGTGATTGAGCCATTTGGTAAGTAGTTCTGAGTCCACTTCCAAGATGACTTTCCTGTAACCATGTTGAACGCACCAGTCCAATCTGTGAGTTGCGGCTTGTGTTTCAGCTTGGTTATTGGTGCCAATACCAAGGGGGATTGCGAATGCATATATCATGTTTCCATTGGAGTCCCTCAATATACCCCCTCCTCCTATCTTCCCGGGGTTATGCAATGCACTTCCATTTGTATTAAGCTTCAAAATAGGGCTGGGAGGGCTTTGCCAACTGATCTTGATGATCTTGATATCCTGGGAGCATTTCTCAACTTCATTGATCGTATCCTCCCAATTATTAGGCCAAGAACAATAGGGATAAGTGACCATGAGAAGCTGGAAAGTGTCTTTAAAAATCATGTACTTCACTCTTGCCATATTAGATTTTTTCTGGCCATATTTCACCGAATACACCCTATAGAAATCATTTTTCTAGCTTTTAGATATGAAACAAAACAACCTCTAGGAATAGAGTTTCCCCCCTTCCATTCTAAAACGGGATCATTTGGAAATTGAAACTTTACTACCCGAGTTCTATAATCAATGGAAGCAAAACAAACATTCAACCAATCCATCCCCAATATGACATCAAAGTCCAACATATCTAATTCTACCAAATCAACCAAAGTGACTCTATGAGACAAGGAAATAGGACAATCCCTATAAACCCTTCTAGCAACAGCCGAGTCACCTATTGGGGTAGAAACCAAAAAAAGTTCCTCTAACTTTACGGGGAGTACATCAATTTTCATATCCACTAAAGGGGAAACAAAATATAAAGTGGCACCGGGTTCTAATAATGCATAAACATTAATGGAAAAATACTTGTAACATACCGGTGACAATGTCCGGAGAACCCTCTTGCTCACTTCTAGATTGGAGAGTGTAAAAGCGATTCTTCTTGGGAGCATCGGAATTTGAGCCACTAGGAGGGACTTGCTTTCCCTCTCTCCCTTGAACCTTTAGCATAGGACAATCCCTCTTCATGTGCCCACGTTTTCCACAACTAAAACACCCATCCGTGCCCACAAGGCACCTGCCACCATGCTTTTTTCCACACTTTGCACAAGTAGGTCTATCAATATAAGAACTATCTCCACTACCACCTTGTGGATTTGGAGTAGGCACCATCTCTTTGTTGACCTTAGGAGTGCTAGAAGTTCCTTGATTAGAAAACCTCTTCTTAAATCTTGGTGTGCCTTGAGCCTCAAATCTACCCTTAGACGAATTACCATCCTCGACCCTAGGCCTCTTCACATCCCTATTCATCTTCTTGAGTTTCGTCTCCTCGATTTGTTGAGTGTATACCATGAGCCTTGAGATAGTCATGTCATGAATGAGCATTGCCGTCCGACATTCTTCTTCAACCAAATCGGATATCCCCATTACAAACTTATTCATCCTAGCCCTTGGATTGGCCACCAATGTTGGAGCATGCTTGGATAATTGGGTGAATTTGAGATAGTACTCCTTCACACTCATCCAAACTTGACAAAGGTTCATGAATTCCACCAACTTTTTGCCGATTTTCTTGTGCTATTGTCCATGAATATTTTGTGATCCGAAATTTCGAAATAAAATGGCCAAAAATTTTCATGGACTTCCGTTAAGACCTTAGTAATGGAGCGAGTTCGTCTCGAGGGGAAAACGGGCGCATTTTCAAGTTCAAACGAGCCCAAAGCTGGTAAACCCAGATATTCCCAATTTTCGTGGGCTATAGTCAATGGATTTTTTATGATCCCAAATTCAAAAAAAATGCCCGAAATTTTTCATGAGTGTCCGTTAAGAACTTAACAATGGTGCGAGTTCGTCCTGAGGGGAAAATGGGTGCATTTTAAAGTTCAACTAAGCCCCAAAGCAGGTAAACTCAAATTTTACCGATTTTCAAATTCTCAAAAAAACTGGAAGAAATTTTTCATGGACGTCCGTTAAAACCTTAGCAATAGAGAAAGTTTGTCCCGAAGGGTAAACATACACATTTTCATTTACAAACGAGTTCCAAAGTAGGTAAACCCAAATTTTATCAATTTTTGTGTGCTATAATAGTTTATAGAATTTTTGTGATCCAAAATACCTGAAAAAAATGGCAAAACTTTTCATGGACATCCGTTAAGACCATAGCAATTGATCGAGTTCGTCCTGAGAGGAAAACGGGTGCATTTTCAAGTTCAAACGAGATCCAAAGGAGGGAAACCCAGATTTGGCCAATTTTCGGATGCTATATTCCATGGATTTTTTGTGATTCAGAATTCTCGAAAAAATGTCCAAAATTTTAATGGACGTCATTTAAGACCTTAGCAATGGAGTTCAAGGTTAAACGGGATCTAAAGCAGGTAAACCTAGTTTTTTCCAATTTTCTTGTGCTATAGTCCCTGGTGTTATTGTGATCCGAACTTCTCGAAAAATATGGCCAAATTTTTCCATGGATGTCCATTAAGACCTTAGTAATGGAGCGTGTTCGTCTCGAGGGGAAAATGGGCACATTTATAAGTTCAAATGAGCCCCAAAGCAGGTTAACCCAGATTTTGCCGATTTTCTTGTACTATAGTACATGGATTTTTTGGAATCCAGAATTCTCGAAAAAAATGGCCGAAATTTTTCATGGACGTCCGATAAGACATTAGCAATGGGGCGAGTTCGTCCCAAGGGGCAAACATGAGCATTTTCAAGTTCAAACGAACCTCGTAGCAGAAAAACCTAGATTTTGTCAATTTTTGTGTGCTATAGTCCATGGTTTTTTGTGATCTGGAATTCCTGAAAATAAATGGTTGAAATTTTTCATGAACGTCCTTAGAAATGGAGTGAGTTCGTCTTGAGGGGAAAATATGCGCATTTTCAAGTTCAAATGAACCCCAAAGCAAGTAAACCCAATTTTTGCCAATTTTCATGTGCTAGCCCATGGATTTTTTGTGATCCGGAATTCCAAAAAAAAATGGCTGCAATTTTTCATGGTCGTCCATTATGACCTTAGCAATAGAGCGAGTTCGTCCCGAGGGGCAAACAGGCGCATTTTCAAGTTCAAACGAGCTGCAAAGCAGGTAAACCCATATTTTGCCGATTTTTGTGTTCTATAGTTCATGGATATTTTGTGATCCGGAATTCCTGAAAAAATGGCCGAGATTTTTTATGTACGTCTGTTAAGACCTTAGCAATGGAGCGAGTTCGTCTCGACGGGTAAATGGGTGCATTTTCAAGTCGAAACGAACCCCAAAGCAGGTAAACCCAGATTTATTCTATTTTCATATGCTATAATCTATGGATTTTTTGTGATACGGAATTGCTGAAAAAAATGGCCAAATTTTTTCATGGATGTTTGTTAAGATCTTTGCAATGGAGCGAGTTCGTCTCGAGGGGCAAACGAGCACATTTTCAAAGTTCAAATGAGCCCCTAAGTATGTAAACAAAGATTTTGCTGATTTTCTGGTGCTATATTCAATGTATTTTTTGTGATTCGAAATTCCCGAAAAAATGACTGAAATTTTTCATGGACATCTATTAAGACATTAGTATTGGAGAGAGTTCGTCCCGAGGGGACAACGGGGGCATTTTCAAGTCAAAACAAGCCCAAAAGAAGGTAAAACCTGATTTATTCGATTTTCGTGTGCTATAATCCATGGAATTTTTGTGATACCAAATTCCCGATAAAAATGGCCAACATTTTTCATGGACGTCTTTAAAGACCTTTGCATGGAGCGAGTTTATCCCGAGGAGTAAACGGGCGTCTTTTCAAGTTCAAACGAGCCCAAAAGTAGGTACATCCTGATTGTGCCGATTTTCGTGTGCTATATATAGTCCATGGATTTTTTGTGATCCAAAATTCCTAAAAAAATGGCCGAATTTTTTTCGTGGACATTCGTTAAGACCTTATAAATGGAGCAAGTTTGTCCCGAGGGGTAAAAGGGCGGATTTTCAAGTCCAAATAAGCCCAAAAGCAGGTAAACCCAGATTTTCCTAAATTTCGTGTGCTATAGTCCATGGATTTTTTTGTAATCGAAATTCCTGAAAAACAATGGCTTAAATTTTTCATGGACGTTCGTTAAGACATTAGAAATGGAGAGAGTTCGTCCTGAGGGGAAAACATGCGCATTTTCATGTTCAAATGAGCCCCAAAGCAGGTAAACCTAGATTTTGCTAATTTTCGTGTTATATAGTTCATGGATTTTTTGTGACTCCCAAAAAAATGGCCGAAATTTGTAATGAACGTCCGTTAAGACCTTAGCAATGGAGCGAGTTTGTCATAAGGGGAAAACATGTGCATTTTCAATTTCAAATGAACCTCAAAGCATGTAAACCCATATTTTTCCGATTTTCATGTTCTATAGTCCATGGATTTTTTGTTATCTGGAATTCCCAAAAAAAGCTGTTCGAAATTTTTCATGGATGTCCCTTAAGACAATAGCAATGGAGCGAGTTCATCCCTAGGGATAGACAACCACATTTTCAAGTTCAAACAAGCCCCAAAGCAGGTAAAAGAATGGCCGAAATTTTTCATGGACGTCCGTTAAGACCTTAGAAATGGAGTGAGTTCTTCCTGAGGGGCAAATAGGCGCATTTTCAAAATCAAACACACCCTGAAGCAGGTAAACCCAGATTTTGCCAATTTTCGTGTGCTATAGTCCATCGATTTTTGTGATCTAGAGTTCCCGAAATATAATTGCCAATTTTTTCATGGACGTCAGTTAAGACATTAGAATGGAGCGATTTCATCCCGAAGGGAAAACGGGTGCATTTTCAAGTTCAAATGAGCCATAAAGAAGGTAAACCTATATTTTGCTGATATTCGTATGCTGTAAGCCATGGATTTTTTGTGAACCGGAATTCCAAAAAATAATGGATGAAATATTTCATGGACGTTCGTTAATACCTTAACAATAGAGCGAGTTCATCCCGAGGGGCTAACGGGCGCATTTTCAAGTTCAAACGAGCCATAAAGCAAGTAAACCCAGATTTTGCTGATTTTCGTGTGCTAGTCCATGAATTTTTTCTGATCCAAAATTTCTAAAAAAAATGGACGAAAATTTTCTTGTACGTCCGTTAATACCTTAGTAATATAGCCAGTTCATCGCGACTGGCAAACAGACACATTTTTATTTCCAAACGAGCCCTAAAGCAGGTAAACCCAGATTTTGCCGATTTTCATTTTCTATAGTCTATGGATGTTTTGTGATACGGAATTCCCAAAAAAGATGGCAGAAATTTTGAATAGACGTTCGTTAAGACCTTAGTAATGGAATAAGTTCATCCCGAGGGGCAAACATGCGCATTTTCTAGTACAAACGAGCCCGAAAGTAGGTAAACCTAGATTTTGCCAATTTTCATGTGCTCTAGTCCATGGATTTTTTGTGATCCGGATTCCCAAATAAAATGGTCGAAATTTT